CATTGCTTCTGTAACATCCAGTGGGGATTTTGACTTCACAGCTTCAGAGTATGCATACTTTGAGAATGTGTCCATAGCAGTCAATAAATAACTATACCCTCTATTTTCTTTCCTAAAGTGTATCATTTCAACTAAATCAATTTGCCATGTATCATTAATCACCCTCTGAAGAAATTTACGACGCAAAAAGTTTTTGCGTGCCGGTTTGTGAATTTCATCAACAACTTGTTTTTTACTCATTTTAAGTTGCTGATTTATTTTATTTTATTTTAGTTTTTATTTGATAGTGATATTTGCTTAGTTAATATGGACTGCTTATATAGAAGTACATCTCTTTTTAATTCGTTACGCATCTTTTTCGAAATTTCAAAACATAATCTTGTTAAATCTATTTGTACATCTTTACCGAAAGAACCCTCTAAATCAGCTAACTTAATTTCATACTTTTGTAATGACACACACTTAGGAATAATATGATTATAGTAAAGATATACCACTTGTTGTCGTAATATTGAATTCCAACATAAGAAGTCTTAGTAAGGATCTCCAGGACTCAGAGTCAAGCTTAATTTTGTTACCATACTGTTTAATTACAAAAACATACTGATTATCAGATTTCCTAAATCTAAAATTACATTTCATAGATGACATGCAGGGGTTATCAATAATTGTGTCAGGCATCAAGAAGTCATACTGGTCCAGTTTCAACTGAATATATTCCTTATATGTGAAAAGTTGCATCTATTCGTCTTTACCAAATCCAACCAAATTACTTTTACTTTTCTGCATCCAAATCATGGGGAATTCATGCATTCATGCCAGCAGGATCGGTGATCCCAAATTTCTTTCATTTCAAACCGCCATTCATCATAAAAGAATTGGATAATGAAACTCTTAAGCAGCAACACTTAAGCCGGCAAATATAAATGGATTGAAATGGTCCGCTGGAGATATACCATATACAGCCCTAGAAGAAATTCTCTCACCACTCAATATGTATTGTTCAATTATTGTTCTTGGTGAAATTAAAAAGAAATTTTATCAAAGTATTTGTCAGCGACCATAATCGATATAGATATCGGAAGAAGCGTGCTACCCAATTTTTTCACCAATTTTAAAATCCATAAGACAAAAATTCCTCTACTGTGTTCCCTAAATAATTTGTTTAAGCTATTTGTAATATTGGAAAACTCAAATTATGAAGTATATTGTAATACTATAACGTATGTTTAAGCTTCAGTAATAAATAAATAGTTGAACCTACAAGTTGTCTTATACAATGGAGTCCTTCAAAAGCGGATACACACAACTGTTTTATTGTAATTATTGTGGATCCGATACTCACTTCGAGAAGAACTGCTCTAAAAAACGCGATCAGGAAAAACATAAATAAACCTAATGTAATTTAAGGATAAGATAAAAAATCTATTTCAAATATAATAAAAAATAAAAATAAATAAAATGTTTACGCAGTTTATACATCCCTTTACAATGTTGATTTGCGGACCATCAGGATCAGGAAAAACCACTTTTTTGGAAAACTTAATAAACAAGTAGAATAATTTGCTAAATACTTCAATAAATCGAATTATTTGAAAATGATTGATGTTTGCGGTAAGCTTCATAGTTTCGAGGATCAATGCAATATCGTGTTGGATAATATGCAAAATCAGATAATAGAACTAAAAGAAAATAATAATCTATTTATGATGCAAAAGAGATCAAGAAGCAAACGAGCTTCTTTCGAATTCATGGGTTCATTATGTCACATTTTATATGGGATAATGGATGAAGATGATAAGAATCAGCTAGAAGAAAACATGAAAAATCTATTAGACAATCAGCACAATTTACAGGAATTAGTCCAAAAACAAACTTCAGTGGTAGATTCCACTACAAATTTGTTAAAGAAAACGACTGAAGATATTAACGATAATTTTAGGTCTATGCATACAAGGATTGAAAATATGACAGAAGTCCTAAAAGAAAGTTACTATGCTTATAAGGAGTCGATTGATTTCTTTATGATAACAAAACAACTAAACTCATTGATTGAAGAAAGTGAAAGGGTGCAGGCAGCGATCATAAGTCTGTTAATTGACATTAATCTTGGTAGATTAAAAACAAACATCCGTAAGCCAAATCGATTACAGAATGAGATATTCAAAATTCAAAGTAGTCTTTCCGAAACATTTGTTCTTCCAGGGAAAAGGACAGGTACTGAGCTTAAGGAGATCTATACGCTATAGACTGCTAGGGATTATTTGTCGAAAATAAATTAATTATAAATGCTAAAATTCCTCTGTTTAGTAGACATCCATCTAAGCTGTTTAGAATTATTCCTTTGCCAATACAGAATGAGGACCGAATGAGTATGGTTCACATTACTTCGAAATATTTAATTTATAATTTTGAAATAGATTCTTATCATATAATGTCTGAATCAACGTTAAGCCAGTGTCAAAGATGGCAGCAAAATAAGAGAATTTGGCAGGGAAGTTGGCCTTGGAATTCTGCGAATGACAATTCTTGTGAAGTACAACCACTTAAGCCAAATAGAGTTTCAAACTGTATATACAAAACAGTGATAGCTGTTTAAGGTTCCTTTTAATTCCAAGATACGACTACAGTGTACGAATGCAGAAATTCAGTTACTCGATTTACCCACGCAAGGAATTCTAAGTATTGCACCAGATTGTACTGCTAGAACAGATGATAGGATTTTGATTGCCCATCATAATATTCAATCCGAAAGTGAAGAGGTATTATCATCATCGTATGTGGGAGATATCAGTCAAATTCCAAAGGTTGTTTGGGATCCATTGAAATTGAACTCTATTAATCATACTGTTGAGATTGTACGCCTAGATAAGGAAATTAAATATTTAAAAGAAAATCATATTAAATTAAAAGATTTGCATTTTCATCACATTTCCGGACATGCTTCTTTAGGACTAGGATTAATAATAATAATATTCATGGTCATATATGCCATAAGAAAATGTGCTACAAGGCAAAGATTGCAAGCTATTACTTTCGCCGGACCATTGCAAGGTGTCGAATAATAAGTTAAAGCAATAAAATAAATATATCGAATAAAAGAAAATACAGTCCACTAATTTTATGTTTGCATTGTTAACGTAAAGAGTTTACAACTTAATATCCTGTACACCTCACCTTGTCGGCCCTTGGCAGAATGTTCAAAAAGAACACTAATTGTCATAAATTCAAGATTTTACGAGCTCTGTTCATGTCAATATGTAAATCTATCTAGAGCCGTTAATAATGATCTGTAACATAAAACCTACAAGGGTGCAGCGCCGAACAGTTGTAATCTTAAGTACAGGCCACTTGAGCCTGAAAATAAATATAGTTCTCACGCTGTACAAAGGGTCGCCTTGCGGGGGACCGTTGATAAGGCTCCCACTCAGGCAAACAGATGTGGTCTCTGCGTAGACCATAGATAAGTATATTATAAGAATTTCATGTTAGCTACGTAAGCGAAGACTTAGAAAAATAAAATCAGTTTTTATACAGAACTCAACGGTGAAAGTTCTTCTCCTGGTTATAGGATTACTTTCAACACCACTTAAATTGCTCAGAATCAGTTACTCAAAGGCCTCAGAACAACATTAAAAGTCTCGGTGCTTTATTGTGATTATCTTCGTCATTTACGTCGGTGCTTAAAAATTATAAACAATTTTTACAAATAGTATACATATATATATATATATACAAATACATTTCAAATATTATAATAACTTAAAAACTACATCGTTTAAATCAAAAATGGAGTCTACAGTTGCATGTGATTTGTGTGCTATGGCTGTGAAGATGTGTGAGTTCAGTGATCACTATGCCAAGTGTTCCAAACCTCGGAATGCCCTCGAGGTTTTAATGTCAAGTTCTAAAGTAAGATGTGACTTGTGCTATCGTATAGTCCCTAACTATAAATTTGACGAGCACTATAAGAATTGTGAAGGACCCCAAAATGCATTCAGCATTTTAATGAACAAAAAGGATTATAAAGGAAAACAACAGGAACCAGCTATTGTTCGAGACGATATTCCCTCAACATCAGCACATGCCCTCAAGCGGATAAGAATGGAGGAGGGTAAGGAAACAAATAGTCCTACAAAAAAGCTTAAGATTTCGGGAAATACACAAGAGCAAAAAAGAGAAATTTTATGTCATACTTGTGGTATCCAGTATCTTGAGTCAAGAGAACGTCAGCATATGCTAACCGATTACCATAAGAATGCTTCGGTCCGAGAAGATGTAAATTATAAAAATATTTCACAAGTTGTGAGTAACTCCAAGTTTCCTGTAATAACATATACAATTAAATGTCCCAACGAAAATGTAATTGACTTAAATGATTTTTATCAATTTCGTCAATCAAATCTACTTAAAATTATTGAGGATTGCATGTCAGAATATAGAGCAATCAAACTCTCGTTAAGAGTGTACGGGATTTATATAAAACAAATAGATGACGGAGAAACCGTTGAAACCAGGAAACACTTTGGAACGGCGTATAGATCGGTATATCAAGTTGAAAATATTACTGTAGAATTAAATGCCGCAATAGAATCTCTAATAACATCGAGCAGTGAGTTCCAGGAAAAGGATTTTGGTTGGGCTATCAAGAACTTTGATTATTTTGAAGCCACTATAGTTAAACTAGAAAACATTCCTGCAAGCGGTTTCATACCAGCTCCGAATAGCATAAGATCGCGAAATGCGATAATAAATATTCAAAACACAGACGTATTTTGTTTTAAGTGGGCAATTTTAGCATTTCTAGCTTACAAGCGATTTCAGAATGCTACTTTTGCAACGCCACAACAAAAGAAATATTCACGGGAGAAATTAACGAAACCGGCAAACTACCACATAAATATCAATGCCGAAGTCATTGTTTATGAAGGAATGAGACTGGATTTTTCAGGAATTGAGTTTCCAATTACCAAAAAAGGACTAAGTCAGTTTGAGAAAAAAAATAAAGATTTTAGCATCAATGTGTATGAAATTGATAATGACGGTAAAAAAATTGTGGGACCTACAGTTAAAACTCAAGAGATTCTACCAAACCACGTAAATATATTAGGAATTAATAACCGTCAAAATATGCACTATGCCTATATTACGTGCATCGAAAGATTATGCGGCTCACAGCATTCAAAATCGCACGCAGGAAAATATTTTTGTGATAACTGCCTGCAGTTTTATACAACAACGAACACTACCCACAATAAGCTTGAATGTGGAAAAGTGGCTTCGTACTATCCTGAGCCGAATACGACCACTTCTTTCAATGGATATCATAAGAAGCTATCACCTCCAGTAGTTATATATGCAGACATAGAGGCGGTCCTTGAAAACTATGAGATCTACTTAAATAATCCGGCTACATCGGAAACAACAAAGGTGCAAAAACATTCAGCGTGCGCGGTATCCTTCTACATTGCACATAAATATAATCCAACTCTGAATGAGTTATGGACATATGAAGGTAAATTAAAAAAAATTAAGGTAATAAATTTGAAATAGTTTAAATTTTATAAAATCACAGGTGAAGATTGCATTAAGCAATTTTGTAAAACTCTCAAAGAAAGGACTTTGAGTTTATTTTACAAATATTGGGCCACAGAAAAAAGTCCCAGTACACAGATCCAATCGATGACTTTGACCAAGAAGGGAGTTGCTGTGCCTGTGAAAAGGTAATCAACGATGGCGACCTGGACAAACACTTCAACCAATTTTCTGGGAAATACGTAGGTCCTATTCATAAGAACTGTAAGCCGAAATATAAATTAAGGGATCCATTTTTTCCTGTAGTTTTTCATAATTTATCTAAGTAGGATTACATTTATTTATTACTGAATTGGAAGGAGATTTAAACCCCATTCCTTGTAATAAAGAATTGTACATAGCTCTTACACAAACTAAAAAACTAAATGCATTAAATAGATATAAAATTAGGTATATAGATTCAGTACGGTTTCTAAATTCTAGCTTGGAAAAATTATCAAGCTATATGGAAGATAGGAATTTTAAAATTCTTGCAACAAAATTTCAGGGAGAAAGATTCAGACAAATGCGTAGGAAGGGTATGTTTCCTTATGAATATTTGAATAGTTTTGATAAGTTAAATGATACTCAGCTTCCTGGCATTGATCGTTTTTATAATTCTCTGAGCGAGGAAAATTGTATTGCGATGATTACAGTTTTGCGCAGAAAGTTTGGGAGACATTTAATTGTAATACTATTAGGGACTACTTAAAGCTTTACTTTGAAAGTGACGTTTTTATTTTAGCCGATAACTACGAAAATTTTCGAAATATTTGTCGTGGAATTTATAAGTTAGGTCCTATAAACTATATCACTGCTCCCTCAATATCATGGGTCGAAATGTTAAAGTTTGTCATCGTACACTTAGAATTGATAAGTGACGGGGATATGTATAACTTTTTGAAAAGAGCTGTCAGAGGAGGCTTAATTTAATTCAGTCAGAGAATTTCCATAGCAAATAATAAGTACTTAAATAACTTGATCCTAGTAAAATAAATAATTTCTTAAGTTACATTGACGCTAATAATTTATATGGATGGGCTATGAGTCAACCTTTACCGCTTTCAGGGCTTAAATTTTTAACTAAGGAAGAAATAGAGGTCTTTAACTATAAAAATACATTATCTGATGGTGATGTAGGATATAAGTTATGATCGGACATGACCAGAGGGGGGAGCATTCTCCCGGATACCACCTAGTCAACGTTATGAGCATCCTCATATCTTGGGTTTCCAGTTCCTTCGTCCACAACTTGGGTTTCCAGTTCCTTCCTCCACAACTTAAACTTTTCTTTCTACGCAGCTACGTTAAAATTAAACAGTAAGCGTTTTATTATTCTAAAGAACAGTCGTCTGGTTGCCTCGGGGGTACAAATCGAAGTGAATGTCCATCATAATTTGCATGGCTTGTTGACCGCATAACGCTGGCAGAGCGGTTGCAGCAGTCCGACGCTGACAGCAGCGGTTCTGCCGGTGCCATTTTGCCGTTGACGCTGCTGTGTCTCTGCTGGTCGTCGGGTTGGCTGAGTGGGGTGATGAGGGAAGTCGCGGTGTCTGGTATCCGGGTGGAGAGGCGGTGAAGGGAAGGGGGCTCTTGGCCGGTGTTAACTCCTCCCCACCACAAAATCTGTGCCCCACAGATTAATAGACCTTTCTTTCGGTCGACGTTATCTTCTTCCAAACGAAGTACACCGCTGTCATGATAGAGAGACAACACCCGTGGCTTGTGTATGGGCTAGCACGACTAGTATTGTCATCAGGTGTGTTGACGAGAAGTTGCTGTAGTCCCTTTCTAAGCTGTCCTCCTTATTCACTATGGCATTCCAATCAGATTTGTCCAGTGATCTCGGACCCCTCTTCCTGAAAGATCCTATCCAGTGATCTCACATCCCAATTCGTGCTGGTGGGCTATCCATGAGCCGATGTGTTGATCGGTGATGGCCTTGTAAGTTATCTGGTCAAAGAGTTGCTGCATGCGGTCCAGATGCATGACGCGAACCGGTTGGAAAGCGTCATTTGTCCTTCAGACGGTACCTTGTTGTAAGGGTTGTGGCCACGTAGATTGTGGACGCGCTCGTAGCGTCGGCACGGGATTACATGAAATTATAGATTTTATTGGTTGTGTTTTATTGTATTATTAGAATTTTTATATTATTTTTATTTTTATATTATTATTTTTATATTATTATTATTTTTATATAATAATATTATTATTCTGAAATAAGATTAGAACTAGTATGTGATTTGCTTTTTGTTCAAAAAAAAAAAAATTATAATTTTCGTTTGAGCGTTGTGCGATTTTTAATATTTTTGGTTCTTTTTTTTATTTCTGTTTACTTGTGTTTATCGGCGCGGTGGTCCGTATTTATCCGTTTGTGCCTACTAAGGTACGGTTGCCACACAATCCACTGGGCAGCTTTTTTTGAATGCATTCCACATCCGTTAGCCTTTCCAGCAGATTGCCACTTACACGACACATTTTTTATAATTGGAAAAAAATTTTTTAACTTCAAAATAGGTTTATAATTTTTGCCGCTCGCAAATTAATTGCCGCAGCGGTTATCTGTGTTTATTTAATTAAAATATCGCCGCAAAGCACTTTTGCTTCTTTTTTTTTTATATTACTTAATGTTTTGTGCCCGCGAATATGCCGTGTCACACGGTACGTGGACAAATCGCCGCGGAAGGTACTAAGTTATTCACAATTTTTTGCACCCGAGGGGAACGCCAGCTGTAACATAATGTGATAAAAGGATTATTCCCAAGGGTTAAGTTGGGTTGGTTTTTATTTGGAAGGAGCAGCTGAGGTACCGCTCCAACGATCAAAATGTCTCTGTCTTTTACAATATTTCTTAAGTCTAAGTAAGGCTAAGTCTCGTAGCTGCGCTGCTCGCAGGCGGCGGCAGAGAGACGGCTATGTACTTATGTATAAAGTAATATAATAATATACACTAGCACTGTGTGCGGGCTAAGCCAGAACGATCGGTTCGTATTTCGGCCACTTAGGGTTTATGACCGGGGCTTTGGATTATGTAAACACTGCAACAAAGTGTTACAGTGCGCACCCTTTAAGTACTCTCGGTACAGTGGGTATTCAATATATGTGCATACTACATCTCCCTCCTTTTGAAAAATAACGTAATAAAATGAAGTTTTTTTATAATAAAAATTTTTAATTAATACATCTCTTCTTTTTTTTTTTTTTATGTTGTTAAAATCATAGAAAATGAAATTATTAAAAGAATATGTGTATTTATTTATCTATGTATGTGTATCTTTGTATGGCCATACTAAGTGCAATTTATGAAATAAAGATTTTTAATCTATCCTTATGAACTGTTTGTTCCTTATGTTTATTATTTGTTATTACTATGTTATCTCTATAATCTAACTTATGACCTGTCTCGTTTTTTAATAAAACTTTGTCACCTACTGATATATCTATATCCCTTGCTTTATGATCGTATAGTAGTTTATTTCTATTCTTATTTGCTTCTAACATAACTCTAGCTCTTTTATAGGCTACTTCCAATCTATATTTACTCTCCTTAGCATAGTCATCTATATTACATAGTGCTTCTACACTATCTATGCTCTTAAAATGTTTTGGCAAATTACTTGTTTTACCGAATACTAGCTCATATGTATGTGCCATAGAGGGGGTCGTGTTGAAACAGAAGACAAAATATTGAAGCCATACGTCCCAATCAGTCTTATCAACCGATATGTAAGATCGTATGTATTCATTGAAAGTTCTATGACTTCTTTCTATTGTTCCAACTGTCTGGTGGTGGTGTGCTGTGGATGTAATATTTGCAATGTTTAAATATTTGCACAGATCGGCAACTAAATACTTAGTTAAATCACATATTAAAGTGACTGCATACTCATTGCCATTTTCTGATTTTGGCAGTGGACCAATAGTGTACACTATCACTCTGTCGAAAGCATTTATTGGTGTGTCTGTAATTGTTAAAGGGGTCTTTGTGTGTTTAGTTATTTTTGATTTCAGGCATTTTTGACATTTTCTTACGTACTCAGTTATATATATATATATATAGTTATATTAGACATGATTTTCCAGTATTAGTGCCTTTTTAATTTTGCCAAAGTTTTTGATATGCCAGTATGACCTCCTTGAATTGGATCATTATGAAATGTAGACAAAATTGCTTCTTTTTCTTTTAAATTTATTATTTGGGTCACCGGGTTGAGTAGCGCTACTCTTAATGTTTTCAATATTTTATTGCCCATTAATTTAAATTTATCTATTGAAGTATATTCAAAGATATTTTCCCACGGTGCCACTTTGAGTTGGCTGATTTTATGTATACCGGCTTGCATTTCAACCTTTGCAAAAATTGATCTAAATCAATAACTCCATTAGTATATAAATCGCTAACATCATATCTTGCAGTAATTTTTCTGCCTTGTTTAAATAAACATAACATGTTTTTTATCTGCAAGGTCACTACTTTACGTACTTCATCATTGTTTATGACGTCGTATACGTTGGGCTTAGAAGCTTTATTTAAAGATTGCATTGGCAATTCTTGTTCTCGATTTTCCGCGAGGAATTTTTGTCTACTTTGATATCTAGTAGTGACTTTTAATACATTTCTAGTTATATTTTGTAGATCTTTGATGGTTATTCTTGATAACGCATCAGCTACATGATTATCTTTTCCCTTTAAATATTCGACTGTAAAGTCGTATTATTCTAGTTCGAGCCTCATACGTGTCAGTTTAGAACTGGGATTGGTCATTGAGAAAAGGTATATTAAAGGTCTATGGTCTGTTCTTATTAAAAAATGTGTTCCATATATATATGGTCTGAAATGTAATATCGCCCAGTGAATTGCAGCTAATTCCTGCTCAGTAGTACACTTGTTACTTTCACCTTTTGTAAATGCTCTTGATGCGTATGCAATGGGAAGTTGGAGACCATTATGATTTTGAGTTAAAACCGCTCCACATGCTTGCTTACTTGCATCTGTTATTATACAGAATTCTTTAGTGAAATCTGGATATTGTAGCAAGGTAGGTTCCATAAGTTTTGTTTTTAAGTATTGGAAAGCATTTTCACACTCATCCGTCCATTTAAAAGGAACATTCTTTTTACATAATCTTGTTATGTGCCGTGAATAGTCGGCGAAATTGTTTATAAAACGTCTATAATAGTTACAGAATGCTACAAAACGTCTAGCACTGTCCGCGTCGTGCGGAACTGGGTAGTTCATAATGACATCGTATTTCTTG